GAAGACAACATGAAGAAGCATGTGGAAAAGATGGCTGTCTATAAACCAAAGAATAGCTGGGCGTGGTGGCGCACGCCTGTAATCCCAGCACTCGGGAGGCTGAGGCAGGAGGATCACTGTGAGTTCGAGACCAACCTGGGCTACATAGTGAGTTCCAACTACATAGTGAGACTCTGTCTCAAAAATAAATAAATAAACAAACAAATAAATAAATAATAAAAATAAAAACCAAAGAACAACTGAGTTACCAATGCCAGGAAAGAATCTTCCTGGTGCCTGGTGCCTGGTACATGGCCCTGCTGACATCACAGTTTTGGACTTCTGGCCTCCAGAACTGTGAGACAGCAAGCGTTTGTTTTATGGTCCTTAGTTTGTGGAATTGTATTACCATATCCCTAGGAAACTGATACAGTTATTTTTAAAACAAGATTTTATAAGTATCTAAAAAATATATCCCTTCTCAAAAAGTCCTGAGGCTAATGATCCTTCCAGACTAAGCTATAATGAGTATATGAGACAGAGACTGAAGGCAGATATAACTTCTAATTTACACTTAGTTACAGATAAGAACTCTGTTAATTGAAGGCTTGTAATTTTCTTTTTTTTTTTTTTAAATTGAGTTTATTGGTACATTCTAGGTAGACAGTACAGTTACATTCGTTACTGGGATCTTGTACCTTTACATGCCAGGTTTTGGTTCTCATTTTTTCCCTTTGTCCCCACCCTCCCTTCGCCCTCCCCTCCCCCCCAAAGGCTTGTGATTTTCTACCTTGAAAGAGTTTGAGTGGCCAGATATTTTTTATGTGAGGATTGCCAACGAGCACTGACCAGCTCTGTGAATATAGAAAGTGTGTTTGTACATAAACAAAAAAGAAGACTAAAAGGATAGGTGCTGCTTGGTGGAATTAATGGTAATTTTTTTGTTATTTGAGCATTTGTTCCACAGGTAAATATTATATTAATCATAATACAATATATTCTAGTGAATATAAAACAAAACCTAGCATTACATAGTATCGTTTTTGTTTTTGAAGCAGGGTATTGCCAAGTGGTCAGGCTGGTTACAAACTCCTGGCCTTAGGCAATATTCCTGCCTCAGCCTCCAGAGTGGGGCTGTGACCATAGGTGTATTCTAACAGTAGTATCTTTTTTGTTGTTGTTGTTAAAGACTTTTTTTTTCTGACTCTTCCAAATAGGGAGGACAATGGTCCTTTCAAATAGTAGGTTAAATCTGCATTATCTTTTTCTCTCCTGTGACTGTTAATTATGGCATGTCAACTTGAATGGGTTAAGAAATGCCTAGCAGGGCTGAGGATTTAGCTCATTGGTGCCATGCTTGTTTTGCAAATGCAGAGTCCTGGCTTGGATTCCAGGTACCAAAAAAGAAAAAGAAAAAAAGAAAAGAAATGCCTAGCAGTTTAGGAAAGCACAATTCTGGGTGTGTCTCTGGACAATTGACATGTAGACCAGCAAACTGAGGGGGAAAGACCCTCCCAGGTTGTGGGTGGCGCCAACCAACTCCTAGCTTGGATGGAATCAAAAAAGGGGAAGAAGACGGAAGTTCTTCCATTTTGGAATGCTCCAGTGTTTGCCATCACTTTTGGACACTGGTTTCCACTCTTCCACTGCAGACTCATGGCGATTCCGCAGTGAGCTTCCAGGCATTCACCCTTGGGCTGATGCTGCATCCTTGCTCTCTCTTGCCCTGTGGCTTCCATCTTCTCAGGCTGAGCAGCTATTGGATCCTCCAGCTCTGCAGTGTGAACATGACCATTGTAGATTCTTTGGCTTTAGATCTCACAGACAGCTATTACGGATTCTTCCACCTCTGTTCCCACAAGCACACCTGATAAATCTCCTTGCATAACTGTACGTAGATTTAATGTTGATTCTGTTCCGCTAGAGAACACTAATCTATCTTCCAACCTATGGTGTTTTCTTTTGCACTCTACTTCAGCAGGAGAATGGGGCTGTGGTTAGTATAACAAAATTAATGGCTCCCTGGATTTTTACTGAAAGTGACTGGACTGTGAATCACCTTTGGATACATGGGAAGTATTCAAAGCAAATACCAACCCCACCGGCTTGTGGTATTGGGAATAAGTAAATTATGTGCGGGACATTCTTTGTTGAAGGTAAGGGTGCCCATTCTGTTAGTAGGACACCAAAACAGATGGTTTTATACAAGAAAACCTCCAGAAAATCACTGCCAACAACTGGGAAAACGACACTCTGTGTTAGGGAATTTATCATGTTAAAGTATGCTGTAACAATGTTAGGGAATTGATCATGTTAAAGTATGCTGTGACGCCGCCTCACAGGCTGCATTCTCCTGGTACATCTTGGCTCCTAAAATGACCTCATGCCCTTATCTCTGGTTTCCCTCCCCCCCAAGGCCACAGTGGTCCAGGAAAGTTGAAACCTGTGTCTGCAGGACTGGGCCCATAAAAGCAATCTGGCCTGTGATAGGTTAAAAGTAGCTCACTCCTCATAAATAATCAATAGCCCACCCCAAACTGATAAAAGGACCTTCCTTTCTTTGTTCTCCTCTCTCCTTCTACTTCTTCTTCCTCCTCCTCTCTCTCTCTCTCTCTCTCTCTGCCTTCCTGCCTCCTGCTCGTCTCCCTACAATAAAGATCTCCTGCCGGACCTCTCGGTGCGTGAGTGGCCTAATTGGGAAGGGGCACCCGAGAGGGCACGCCAACCCCCCTTTCACTCTGGACAACTGCTCTTAGTGGGAACGTAAGGGCAAACTTGGTGAGGTACCTGGAGTAAGAGGCTTGCTCAGGACACAGCTAAATGAAGACATTAGGACTGTTTGGCACATAGCTTGCCGTGCAGCACACTGACATAGACAATGTGAATGCTAGTTAAATGTAATCATCCAAACCAGGCCTTAGCTTTCTTTGCCTAATCACAGATCACAGATAAACTTAGTCGTACCCACCCCTGTGTACATGAATCCTTGAGTTATTGAGTGAGATGAAGGACAGGGCAGCCCACTGAGAATAATGCTGACTCAGCCCTCCTTGAATTTAATACTAATATATAACAGAGTCAGTCTTCTGCCTGCTGTTACTCAATGTCTCCAGAGTGGCTCAGCATGTTCTACTTAAAGTTTTTATAGCTCTCAGTAACAGTACACGCTCTAAGAAGAGACGGTGTCTTCCTTCCTAGGGCCCACATCTTTGGCTTGACGGAAAGGCCCAGCACTCAGTAGTCAACAAGGGCTCACGGTGTACAGGTGTCCACGTAGCACAGCTCTGAGAGTTGGGAGGTAGAGGATGGGTGCTTGGGAAGTGGTCATCACTGTAAAACAGCCAAATCTTTAATGGTCCGGAAGTTGATAGAGACTTTCTTAAATTTAAAAACAACTAAATAAAAGTGTATGCATCAAATTTTAAAAGATGGATGTAACTACCTAAAAAAAAAAAAATCACTAAAAGAGCTTGCTAGAAAGGAAACAAGGGGGAAACCAGAGACCAAAGAAAATGGGAAAGTGGGAATTAGATTTAAAAAATAGAGAAATGACTTCTCTGAGTAATTCTTTTTGTACAGCTTTTGTTGTTGTTTTTTTGTTTTGTTTTGTTTTTTTGTTTTTTGAGATAGGGTATCACTATGTAGTTGAGACTGTCCTGGAACTCACTATGTAGCTCAGACTGATCTCGAACTCACAGCGATCCTCCTGCCTCAGCCTCCCGAGTGCTGGGATTGATTACAGGCATGAGCCACCACGCCCAGCCTTTTTGTATAGTTTTGACTTTCACAAGCATATTAATATTTTACTTATTAAAACAAATCAGTTATAGGGGGAAATCTCTAAAATTCAATATTGAAAGAAACATGTGATTTCAGATGAACATGACTGTACTGAATGAAAAAAGAATTAATAAAAGCAGCTACTGAACACTAAGTTGCTTACAGCCCTTCCATCTTAAAATGAGAGAACTGCAAACAAATCCTGGAACACTACTTAAAAGCCCGGTCTCCTTGTCAGGCTGAGCGGGTGATATCACCAATCAAGGGACAGAATATTGTGTGCCTCTCCATGAGATGCTTTGAGGACACAATGCCATATTTGTGATATTCCTGCCCCAAATAAGACAAACTGAATCTAATGAGTTAGCCTCAGACAGCCCCAAACTGATGGGATTTTCAAAGAATAATTGAATTGTAGGGTCTAAAGGTGTAGTGCACTTACCTATCACACATGAAGTTGTAGGTTCCACCCCTAACACTGAAAAAAAAATGAATTACACGTATTCTTTTAAAGGTGACCGTGTTTTTAAAGGCAAAAGCCAACTGAGGACCTCTTTCGGATCGAAGGTTTCTAAACATGACCTGACAGCTAAATGCAATATGTGATCTTACATTAGATCCTGAACTGGAAAAGAAGTTCTTCTAATGAATATTCCTTGAGAGACTAGTAAAATTCGAGTATGAGCTGGGCACAGTGGTGCAGGCCTGTAATTCCAGCACTCTGGGAGGCTGAGGCAGGAGGCGCATAAGTGTGAGCCCAGCCCAAGCAATTTAGTAACTTAGTGTGAAACTCTGTCTCAAAATAAACAATAAAACTAGGGACATAGAGCCCAAGGCCTTGGGTTGAATCCCCAGTACTGGGAATAAGTAAATAAAAGGAAAACTGACTGAGGTTTAGAGTAAGGCCTACAGAATACATAATATAATATTATAATAGTGTCACATTTCCTAATTTTTGCATTTGTATTGTGATTATGTAATAAAACTTTTTCTTAGGAAGAGGAAATGGGGCTGTTCCATTTGGTGCAGTTACTGCCTAATAAAGGCTGTGGCAGCTGGGCGTGGTGGTGCACTCCTATAATCCCAGCACTCGGGAGGCTGAGGCAGGAGGATTGCTGTGAGTTCAAGACCAGCCTGGGCTACATAGTGAGTTCCAGGTTAGTCTCAACTATATAGTGAGACCCTGTTTCAAAAAACAAAAAAACAAAACAAAACAAAAAAAACACGCTGTGGCTAGACAGGCTGGGTCACTGTTAACTGGGAGGAAAGGCAGAATCACAAAAGGCAAAAGGGAAGGGTATCCATATTGTGTACCCCTAACTTTCTTAGAAAGGCCAGGCTGTGCAAAGGTTTGTGGAACCCTGACATAAATGGATCTAGTGTGATAGCCTGAGACGATTCTTTTATTCAAGTGCTTTGCATTGGACCACTGTGTGGATAATTTTTTTTAATATCCAGAATAATGCTAGTACAATACAAATGCTTTGCTATAATACCAGTATTTACAGTGGACAAGTAAATATTCTAATCCAGAGGTTTAGGTCTAGATTTCACAATTACAAAGAGGCGATATCAGCATGGTCTTTCAGACATTCACCCAGAGGAGTATTGACAAAATGCTTTGTGCAACCACAAACTATTCAGAAAGTAAAGCTTCCATGACAAGCCATCACATTCACAGCCATTGTTAGCGACACAACAGCGTGTACTAGGCAAGACGCCACAGCTGTACATGGTGACCATCGGCAGCACTTGGGAGACTGGGAAGATAGGAGGCCTAAGACCTGAAGTCACCTCATGCCCCGCCCACCACTCACTTGTCCCTGTAGTTTACAATTTCATCTGTTCATTCTCAGGCTGAGGCTTCTCCTCGAGACCGTACTCTAGAAAAGTCTAGTCTCCTCTTATACTTCGGGGTATCGGTCTATGTCAAGGTGATGGGTGGTCTGCAAAACTGGCCGCCTTCCAAAGGCAGCGATAGAGAAAGAACGTAGTCCCATTTGTTAATTTCACAAAAGATGATGAAAACAAGAAGCTGTAGAGGGTGAAGTGTGCCCCCATTCCAGGTGTGCGTTCCTGTGTTTGAATTCCCTTTACTGGGAGCAATGAATGCCCAATGTTGAAGTGTGATTCTCATGGAGGATTTTCATTTTCAGGACTCAAAGCCTTAGCTGAATCCACTGTTCACTTAAAGCTGGTGGAGCAGTTTGCTATGAGGTTGCACCCGGTCGATATGATGCAGGCCTGAAAGTGTCTGTGTCCTGGAGAACCAAGCCAATTAATTAATATTTTCAACTACATTCCTGGCAGGTGTCAACTTGCCCTTCACAAAGGCTCAGCAGGGAGGGTGCTTCCTACGGGTCTCATCCCAACATCAGGTCTCTACAGGGCTGGAAGAGAGGCCTAGGCGGATCAGCCAGGGCCTGCCTGTGATTTTTCCTCTGCCAGCCTCCTTGGCACAGCCTGTAAGAGTCTTGCCCTCCTCTTCAGGGGTAAGTGGAAGCTCTCCTGTGCTCAGGTACATTCCTAATTCCCAGGACATCGTAGCCAGCTCTTTCTTCCATCCCCTCAGCAAATGAGGCTGAAAAAGCTGGCCTATGTTAAGCAGCACGAAGTCAAGATTTTAAAATGCTGCTGTACATATAATTAATCAGCAGGTTAAAGGTTGAGCTTCTGACAGGAGGGTTTCTCTCAACTCCTTGGCATGAACCATTGTACTGCTTTCCTTGTGGAGCTTTTGTTAATTTTACGCAGTATGTCTAGCTTCAATCTCTTGCACCTTGGTTTATTTCTAGAATATCAAGGAAGCATCTCAGATTCTGGTTTCTTATATATACTTAGAGATTTCAATTAGATTTGATTTTTAATAATCCCAGTGCCCTAATGTATGTTGATGACTCTTTTTTGATGTGTTATGACCTATATTTTCTTTTTAAAGATGGAAGGTTTTGTTTGATTTTGTGGTTCTGAGGGTTGAACCCTAGGCCTTGTGCATGGTAGGAAATAGTGCTTACCACTCAGCTAAATCCCCAGCTGAAGCTTCTGTTGTTAAAGACCATAGCCAGCTTCACTGGTCCTTCAGTTGTGTTTTTCTAGGCTGCTCATCTTTTGGACTGAATTTGGACAGGAATGAAAAAGTCATTTCTGTTCTTTGAAAGACCTATTTTAAAAAAAAAGAAAAGAAAGACTTTTCCTTCTATTTGCCCCAAATAGCACTTCTCCCCAGGGCAGTACAGTGACCTGCTTATCACACCCTTCCTGGGTGTGAATCGGGGGCCTGGAAGAGAGAGATTGAAGACTTTCAAAAGGGCTCTCTAATGAAATTCAAACTCATGGATTGAAATTAAATTTGTTTTTCACATTTTGCCTCAGCTTTGCTTTGTGAAGAGATCAGAAAGCAAATCGTCAGAAAACAAGGTCAGAGATATTTACCAGTGAAGGGCTGTCGTACAGCCAGTCCTCCTAAGACTGTAGCACAAGGAAACAGTTTTAAAGGGGCATGAAGTAGAGTGCGTGCTATTTGTTTAGATAAAAGGGGGGGTATCCCACTGGTGAAAACAAAAATGGGGAGTCTTGATCATCTTTATCAGCAGAAAAAAACCCTTTCAAGGCTGAGTGTGACTGGGTCTCAGCGTCCCCCAGACCCAGGGTTCTGAGGAAGGGTGTCTCTGTGGAGATTAGCATAGTTTCCCTGGGTACAGGAATCGGCTCAGTTACAAAAGCAAAGAGCAAGAGCTTCACTTAGATGTAGGGTCAGGGAAACATATAGACCGCATAACAGATACACGATAAATACTCATCAGTCAGTGAGAAAAGATATCTGTAGAAGCACGTTGAATATCATTCAACAGGTGATAGTGACTTACTTTCTCCTGGTTCTCAATGGTACAAAACAATACACATTTTGCGCAAAACTCTCTGACGGGGAGGTTTCCATCCAGTCCCTGTGGTTTCTCACGGGAGGTTAAACAAAAGTTTCTCGTGTTATTGTTCATTGTAAGCCAAGCTTGTTTCCTGTGAAGGGCCGTGAGGCAGACTCCACTTCCTTGACAAATTCCAAGACCACCAGGTAGCCTTAGTCATGGGTAAGATTCGTTTGATATGGCAGCAGTTGCTGCAGAAGTGAATCCTTTCTTTTGGCAACAGACTTTGAGCCTTTACAAGTCTTCAGGGACTATAAAGGACAGATGACATTATTTTAAGGTAGGCAAACCAGACTGTTGTCATTATTTTTGGAGGGGGGTAGTTCTTAACTTTTCAAGGTAGCTTGCTGTTCCCCTGCCAGTACAACTTCTCCTCTGCTTTTTTCTTTTTCCACCGGCAGAGAAGCAGCATCTTAAAGGTCTTCCTGAAGGTTCTGTTGCAGAGGGCATAGCAGATGGGATTGACTGTACTGTTGACGTAGCACAACCAATAGCCCAAGTGCCACAGAGAGACTGGGACACACTTGTCACAGAAGGTGGAAACTAGGACCATGATGTTATAAGGGGTCCATGTAATGATGAAGGCCAGGAGAATGGCACTCAAGGTCTGGGCTGCTTTCCTCTCCTTGACTAGGACCATTCGCTTTCGTTTGGTCATTTGATGGCTGAGGTTGGGATCAAGGCCTTTCGATGAAGGGTTCTTGGACACTGGGAAGGAGCAGGGCATGATTTTCACTTTTCGACAGCCGTTATTGGTTTCCTGGGTCCCGTCAGCTTTAACCACCAGTCGGAACTTATAGGCCACACACTTCTGACTCTTGAGTCTGTGAGCAGCAGCTGGTGACAGGAAGTATTTTGGAGTGTCATAGTCAGTTTTTTCAGTCTGCGCTTTCACAAAAGTCTCCTTGGTCTCCTCGGGGCTGAATTCTTCTCTTGGGCTTTCCCTGGCCTGACTCTTATAGACCACTTGGAAGACAGGGTTGGTGGGGGGCTTGTCCTCATCCTCAGAGGAGGGGTAGCTGCTACAGGCAGTGAGCTGCTCACTGTTGGCCCAGCTGGTGCTTTGGCCAGTGGCTTGGGATGGCTTTCCTGTGGTAGAGGTGCTCCTGCGGGAGGATGACCAGGAGGCCTGGTGGCTCCTTTCCCTCTGGGCCAGGGTAGGTTGAGGGCAGGAGAAGCAGGACCTGAGCAGAGCCCTGTGAGCTGGCTTTCTCTTTTCAGCTTCAGCCACAGAGTCAGAGCCCTGGAGGTCAGCCAGATCTTTGGTTCGCTTTTCCGTTTCCCGGTAGATTCGGCAGTAAAGAATTGTCATGACAGAAACAGGGATGTAGAAGGCAGCAATGGCTGTGCCAAAAGTGATGGTGGGTTCAGAGAGGAATTGGATCTGACACTCATCTGGTGGTACTGTCCGCTTCCCAACCAAGTACTGCCAGCAGAGGATTGCGGGCGCCCAGAGAATGAAGGAGATCAACCAGGCCAAACCGATCATGACACCAGCCCTCTTTGGGGTCCGCTTGGCCCGATATGTCAGGGGTCTGGTGATGGAGAAGTAACGGTCAAAGCTGATCACCAGGAGATTCATGACAGAGGCATTGCTGGCCACATAGTCCAGTGCAAGCCAGAGGTCACAAGCCAGACTCCCAAGAGCCCAGCGTCCCATGAGGATGTAGGTGGTATAGAGGTTCATGGAGAAGACCCCAATGATGAGATCCGCACAGGCTAGGCTGAGCAGGTAGTAATTGTTAACTGTCTTGAGCTGACTGTTGACTTTGAAAGAGATCATGACCAAAACGTTGCCCACAATGGTGATCAGGCTGACTACCGCGGTCACGGCTGCGATGGTGACGACTTCCCACAACCGATGGTGCTCCAAAGGCTGGTGAGTTACCGGGGTGCCATTGACAGTGGTTGCGTTGTGGTAAGATTCCCCTTCCATCCTGGTGCAAGAATTTACCTGAAGGTTAAGTCTTGGGTTTTAGTGCTCTGCTGTCACCTCTTCTTGGCCAGTATCTGGAAGAGAGGGAAACACATTAGGTCACTCACCAGCATGCGTTTCCTTTCCATCCATTGCTTATCATTTCTAATAGAATATTAAATGTGGTCACACACATACTTAGAGGAAAATGCTGAAGTTTCTAAAGCTTGATAAGCATTTTAATCACAGCTTTTATCTTTTACTTTGTGATTACCAATGTTCAAATGCACTTCTTGTGCTTGAAACTGCTGCCCCCTTGTGGCGACTTTTTAAAAGAGGTCTGATGCTATCGTGTATCCCCGCCGTAATTATAAAGTGCACCTCTTAAAAGTTCAACCAATGTAAAAATGTAAATTTAGAAAACAATCTTTTCTAATCCCATCTTGCTCTCAGGTGATGGATCTTGAAAGCATAATATTCATTGAAATAAATCAGAAAACAGAAGTTTAAATATCCCACGGTTTCTCTTATATGAGAAATCCAAAATATAAATTATTTAAAGAGCAAAACAAAGGAGAGATGATACGAAACAGGGAGATAGGAATTTTTGGAGGAGAGGATCTGAGGAAGGGAGAGGAGGAGAGGGGAAGTGAGTAAAGGGGATAAAAAAATGATCAAGATGTATAATCTTGGTCATTGGGGGGATATATCTAGTTTTGGGTATATACATAGACAATAATGTAATTATATTCTAATACGTTTTGAAAAGAAAAATATCTTCCCCCCTGTCTTTTACATAAGGGTATTATGTCGGGAAATTACCAAATCATATTTCAGTGTCAGATTGAGGCTGGGGTTTAATTCTTATAAAATGGAGTGTTGGTCTACAGGTAAGTGGATCTCCTCATGGTTGCTCATTGAAGCCGCAAGGAGCTTTTGAAAAGTATTAATATCTGGACCCCACCCCAGCCCTGTCAACTCAGAGTCTCTGTGGGAGAAACCCGTGTGCCGTTTCACTTTCAAATTCCTCAGGTGATTCTTATGTGAAGTCAGACTGGAAAACCTGTGATGCTTGAGCTCCCTGCTGCTCAAGGAGAAGCTAATTCAGGGTGCTTCTTACAGATGAATAATTTCATGACTAGAACCAGTGTTTCTCAAAGTGCAACATGCCACGACTTACCTGCAAGCTCTTACTCAATTGCAGAAGGGTGTGGCTTGCAATTCCACATTTCTAAAAAACTCAGTATTGTTGATGCTGCTAATATGTGAACCATGCTTTAAATTGAGTGCAAGGAAAATTTTTGAACTTCCAGAAAAGGAGCCAAGGCTTACCAAGGTGCTGCTAACTTGGAATCATCCAATTGAAATACACGGTACCGTTTGGGTCCTTACCTGCCTTCCAAAGTCATCTGAGTTTTAAAAAATTTCTCTCCTGCTCAGAATTAACAAAACATCCCAACTTCTTTCTATTCTTTTCAAAAAATTCTTTTTTGGGGGAATGACTTTTCCTGAAGTCTAGGTTGCAGGGAGTGGACAGCTCTTTCCACAGACAAAAGCATCTGGGACATGAGGTGGGTTCCAAGGCTGAAGGAGTGATTTCTTTATTTGGATCACAGTTTAATGTGGAGAATGAGCTTCAAGCATATAAATGTTTTGAATCATTAACAAATTTTCATTTTTTTAAGTAAAACATGTTTCTGGAGAAGTAGCCCTTATTTTGGTGGGGGGACAGTAATGTAAGTGGTATCAGGGGGTGGAATCCTTCTGAGCTCTTACTGGTTGCTTCCTCTCGGTTTACAAGTTCTCACTTTTCACTTGCTTTTTTTTTGTACTGGGGATTGAACTCAGGACCTTGCACTTGTGAGGCAAGTGTGGTGCCCCTGAGCTAAATCCCTGGCCCTTCACTATTAGTAGGGCACCAGCATTAATAAACATCCCTGGTTTATTATTTCTACCACTGGACAGAAGAAGCCCAGGGTAACAAAAGCCTCTGTGTTCTCAGCCTCACCAGTTGTGTCTTTGTTCTTTGTTGTCTATAAATTACAAATGATGCAAAATAACATACAAGTAAAGAGGATAATACTGTACCGTATGAATTCTTTCCTTGTTGAGTGGCCTTGAATTCTGAGGCTTTGCATAAAGTGAGCTTTGACCTTGCTTTTCTGAAATCCCCCCCCGTTTTTTTTTTTTTCTGGGAAGCTTTTTGCCTGAACCTGTCCTTGCTGCAGTGCATTGTTTCTATAGCAACCACAGTGGAACTTTGGTCCCACTTTACTAGCGTCAATCTGCCATTGACAGAGAGACATCATAACCAGCTCATGTTATCATGAAGAATATCAATGAGCTGCCATCCTTCTCTTTTCAAGGATAAATCAAGAACAAGCAGGCTTAAAATCCATGTAGTAACAACAGATTAGAAGAAAGATCTTCCAGTGGAGGAATGTGTGAAAAAGGGAAGTTATGCATTTGCCTTTTTTGATGACTATCTTAAAGTAACACATATCTAAACTCTTTTGATTAGTAGAGGAGAAATGCTGTCCAAAGATACTTGGAGGTTAAGGGATGACTTCTTAGCCCCATGTGGTGTCACACACCTGTAATCACAGCACTCTGGGAGGTTGAAGCAGGATTGTAAGTTCAAGTTTATCCCGAGTGACTTAGTAAGACCCTATCTCAAAATAAAATATAAAAAAGACTTAGAGATATAACTCTGTGTGAAGGCCCTGGGTTCTATTCCTCTACACACACACACACACCCACACACCCACAGATGATTGCTTATGAAAGAGATGCACAATAGTCTTTGAGGAGGTAATCTTTTTCACTTCTTAGAAAAATGATCTAGACATAAAGTTGAGCCTTTAAAGCCCAATTTATGTGGCAGGTCTATTATCGAGGAAATTAAAAAATTGCATTGTTATTATAGGACAGGAAAACAGGTTAGATTGTTTTACCCAAAGGCATAAACTTGAGCTATTTATTTTTTGATTTTTATTTTTTGGTTCTTTTGAGACAGGATCTCACTATATAGTTGAGACTGACCTGGAACTCACTATGTAGCCCAGGCTGGTTTTGAATTCACAGCTATCCTCCTGCCTCAGCCTCCCAAGTGCTGGGATTACAGGCGTGCACCACCACACCCGCCTGGGGCCATTTAATATGTGTACTGCAGCCCTCAGTCCTGCAGGGTGGCTTGGGAGGTCCCCTTCTATTGGGAACAGTCTTGTTTTGTTTTCCTGGAATACTGGGCAAATGTTATCATTTTCTATATGCGCTACATGAAAAAGTCTGGGCAGCACTGCCACAAGTAGATGTGTGGGAGAATCTAAAAGTCCAGAAGCCCTTGACTATTATCCAAGACTTCCCAACAGCGTTGAAGGCAAAGATTGTATGTTAATTTTTGGATTCCCATTTATGGCATGTTGTTCTGAAACCAATAAGAATAAAAGGTTTGGGGAAGAGAGAGTGACTATCGAATAAAGTTGATAAGTAAGATTAGGACTGAGGCCTGACCATTGGATTTAGTTACATGTAGAACATAGTGAATCTTTTTTTTTTTTTTGGTACCAGGGATGGAACTTGGGTCCTTGTGCTTACAAGGTAGGCTGCAGAACCACTGAGCTAAATCCCCGGTCCAAACATAGTGAATCTTGATCGGTATAGGGGAAACAGTGGACATGAAAACCTTGTGACGCAGATGGAAGAGTGAATGAGAAGGGAGAATTATAAACAGTGCTGTAGAATACTTCTGTAAAGCTTGGTTATAAAAGAAGTAGAGGAGAAACTGTATTAAGATGTAGAGAAAATAGTTTGTTTGTTTTTTAAAGAGAGGTGGGGGCTGTGGATTTAGCTCAGTAGTGCCATACTTGCCCAGCAAGCACAAGGTCCCGAGTTCAATTCCTGGTACTGAAAAAAGAAAAAAAAAAAAAGGTGGGATGATTACATGTTTTTATGCAGTAGTAATTAGGGTGGGATGTCAACTTGATTGGCTTTGTGATCTCACCAAAGGGGATTGGTGGAGCGTGCCTTTGGGTGGTCTGGGTCGTGGGTATGCCCTTGAGGTCTATCTCATCTCTTGCCCCGTCCTCTCTGGTGCTCTTCCCTGACTCTGCTTCTCAGCCACCATGAACTAAGCGGCTTTGCTCCAAGACATCCTTCTGCCATGATGTTTCTGCCTTGGAGCCTGCTGACCATGGACTGAATCCTGTGAAATCATAAGCTAAATCAAACTGCTCCTTCTTTAAGTTTTTGGATGTTGAGTATTGTGCCCTAGTGGTATAGGGGGAAGAGATGTAACTCCCAAACCTGCTAGGTATCTGAAATGTGAGTTCATATTCTTTGAAATTGAAGAATGAATTCTAGGAACAAAGGAGGTTAAGAGTAGGAAAATTTATTGAGAGCAGGATAGCTTCTGCCTAAGACAGACAGAAAAGGGACCTGAAAGTGGGTTGCCTGCCCACGCACAAAGGGATGTTTTATACAGGAAAGCCAACACTGAAGTGATGAATTTGAAGGCAGTTTCAAAGTGGGACAAAACTATAAGACCCAATGGAAATTTACAAGGTGGGACAAATCCATGACCAACCAATATGATTACAAGTATAGTTACCCAGGTAATATTGGTTAAATGGGGGATCAAATGGGAAAATAAGTCACATATAAGGAATTTCCCATTTAGAATATCAATTACTGCTATCTATCTCTAGGGAAAGTAGTGCCTCTTCTTTTTATAATGATAACCAGTGAGAATGTACCTCAGTTGATACCCATGTTTGCTCCTTTCTGTGTTGGCTCCTGGAGGGCTGGCACATTGAGGATTGGGCTTTGAGGGCTGGTGCCTTAAGGGAGGCTCTGTCTAACTGCCTACGTGATATCTAATTAACTTACCCATCTACAATATCAGCAATGGGAAATCTGACAAACACATAAAATCGTACTAGGAATGGAACTGTTGCTGTGACTGTTCCTGATCATGTGGTCCCGAAGCCCTTGCAACTGGTTTGTGGGAAAAGTTTGGAGATGCAGGCTGGAGAAGCCCTAAAATGTTGTAAGCAGAGCTTGATGGACAACTCTGGCCAGACCTCGGAGGACCACA